ATGAAAATCTCAAAATATCAAATACTAAAAGTTGAGAAGGAAAAGATCCAAGCGTATTGTGCGATATCCCCGATCGGTAATCCATAGAAGACCATAGTGACGTCGTCTTCTCATACGTCAAACATGTACTATCAAATTATCTACACCGGCATCGGGTACTTCCGCTAGTAATATATATATATATATATATATACATCTTCAGTACATATACAGTCAGTTAGTTTTAGAACAGAAAAGTGTGAAGAGCGTTGTTATATATTCTATTGTATTTTCTATCTCATTTTTCGTATTGTTATCATTTTGTTATAAAAAAAAAATAAATTCCATTTAAACTGTCATCATCGATTTAGTGATTAAGGTAAGATTCAATACTAGGCAATTGAACCTGGGATGATCCCTCATTCTACAGGAAAGTAGAACGAAAGGTTAACAAAACGACATATATTTTCTAATTTCAAACTTAAAAAATGATGTTGAGAACTTTAAAACTGTAATCTTTTGAAATTTTTAAACCTAGTTTTCTCTAGTAATTCGAAATCTTATTGCATTTAATAGCCCGGAAATCAAAGCGAAAGTCCGGGAGTACATTGGCGACAGTACAGTGGATATTCGCCAATTGGCGAAAGTCATGAGGATGCATCGGCGAAAGTACAGTGGACTCTCACCAATTGTCGAAAGCCAAGGCTACGTTCCTTGTAGATTGCAGTAGGAACTGAGAAACTGTCGCCAGAACTGAGTCAATTCTTCCATTCCCCGGCTTTTTCCTTTTCCTCGAAGTATTTCTTCCCGTACTCTTTGTCACCTCAGTTCTCCGCGGAATTGATGCCAGGTTTCTTGTAGGTTCCCAGTACGACCTGATAAACTGTGGGCAGAACCGAGGCAATTCGTCGATTCTCCGCCTTTTTCCTTTTCCAGGAAATATGTCCCACTATACTCCTTGTCTGCTCAGTTCCGCCGGGATTTGATGCTAGGTGCCTTGTAGATCGCAGTAGGAACTGAGAAACTGTCGCCAGAACTGAGTCAATTCTTCCATTGGAACCTAGCATCAAATCCCGCGGAACTGAGGCGACAGAGAGTATAGTAAGAAATATTTCCTGCATCAAGCGAAAAGCCGGGGAGTCGAATAATCGACTCCGTTCTCCTGAGAGTTCCTCAGATCCTACCGGTTAGCTAGATGCAACCTCTACATGCAAAAGTAATACCGAAATGTCAAGGAAAAGAAAAAAACAGCGGTGTCGAGTTCTCGCGACATTTCTTGAGTCCCGCAGTTAAACAGACTTATAAAAGACCTGCACTATAATTCAATTGCAGAATCGCTACAGAATTATAATACCTTCGGACAAACAGGGATTTGAGGCTGGGTTCCTTGTAGATTGCAGTAGGAACTGAGAAACTGTGGCCAGAACTGAGTCAATTCTTCCATTCCTCGGCTTTTTCCTCGAAGTATTTCTTCCCGTACTGTTTATCACGTCAGTTCCCCGCCGAATTGATGCTAGGTTCCTTACAGGTTCCCAGTAGGAACTGACAAACTGTAGGCAGAAGCCAGGCAATTCATCGGTTCCCCGCCTTTGCTTTTCCAGGAAATATGTCTTACTATACTCGTTGTCAGCTCAGTTCCGCCGGGATTTGATGCAAGTAACCCGAAAGCAACTCAGGAGCTGTCCGCAGAACTGAGTCAATTCCTCGATACGCTGGCTTTTTCCTTATTCCAAGAAAACTTTCTTGGGGGTTTCCGAATTTCGCCAATAAGACTTTCGCCACCTGGACATTTGCCAATGGCGAAAGTCCGGGAGTACATTGGCGAAAGTCATGAAGGTGCATTGGCGAAAGTACAGTGGACTTTCGCCAATTATCATGAAAGAATATCAGTGCAAGGTATACGTGAGGACTTAAGGTGTTAGAATATATCTTGTTGCCTTGAAATAGGATCTATTCGAATATGACCCAGTCACGTTTTCAATAAAAAAAGCGAGTATAATGAGTAAGAAAGAGATGAAGAAGAACTTAATCTTGATTTAATGCTGAACCTGAGGGTGAGTCTGATACGCCTGACTTAGAAACATTATGCTTGCGTTTTTTTCCTTTTCGTCCACGACCAATAGGTTCGCCGACAACATGAGCAAGAGACGCAATTGTATCCGATAAGAATCTTGTTTTTGATTCCAATAATTGCATCAGTTTATCGATTTGTTTTGTTTTTTGTGCTGCTTTACGTGTTAATTTTGTTTGTTTAACAGAAGAAAACCCTAAACCAGTCTGGACCATACGGTGCGAAATCACACTTTCTTTTTGTTTCAAGCATTGAATGAATCAGGAATAAGGAAAGGATAAATGAAGTACAATGATGTTAGATGACACATCGATACAAATATCTCTAATCCAAATATAAGTTATACCCAAGTTGGCGAAAGTCCGATGCGTATATTGGCCAAAGTATAGTGGACATTCGCCAATTGGCGAAAGTCATGAGGATGCATTGGCGAAAGTACGGTGGACTCTCGCCAATTGACGAAGTTCCAGGGGTATACTGGCGAAAATACAGTGGAATCGCGCCAATTGGCGAAAGTCATGAAGGTGCATTGGCGACAGGCTGGCCAGATCTTCTGATTTTTCAGAAATTTTCTGATTTTGAACACTTTTTCTGATTTTCCTGATTTTCATTTCTTCTGGTTCAAACGTGCTAGTTCGTTCTCATATGAATGCCCGAATTATTACAATTGATACGGTATTATCCACATGATATCTATCTACATAAAACGATAATACAGTTCAATAAAAGGACTGATTTCAGCGAAAAGATCAAAGAACATGTCTTTTCTCTCTCTTTTTCGTCTTGTTTACTCATTTCATTTTCGGACTGATGATGTTATGAGTTCATAACGAAACGTCTGAAATAAAAATGATTAAAATGGTGTCAATTGTTCTCTTATTTATACAGAATTGAATATATAAACAAAGTGAACACTAAAGAAGCTTTCTCGTCTCTTGATATTGCACATTTTCTGGATTGAGCATTAAAGAAATGTCAGTCGTGTCAAATGTTGGTGAAGGTGAAGGCAAAAATGTCATAATCACAAATGACAATGATATTCTTTTGGATTCGGAAGAAGATAACCACAATGATCAACAACCAGAGGAAGAAATCAAAACATTAACTACATCAACAGTGGTATCGAAAAACAACGACAAAAA